GCGGAGAAAATACACAATAGCCAAAAGTTCCCTGCGAGTGACGCAGTAACGAGTTTCCGCGGGAGACAAAACCCGACTCCCGTACGCCACCACACGCTCAACACCACCTTTTGACTGGGACAACACCGCCCCAATCCCGGTGTCACTCGCATCAGTATCCAGAATGAAGGGATGTTCAAAGTCCGGATAATCCAACGTCGGCGCAGTAGCCAGTAGATCGCGCAGGCTCCGAAACGCCGCCTCCTCCGGCGGTCCCCACACAAATTTGTGCCCCTTCCCAGTAAGGAGATGCAAAGGCCTGGCGATAGTAGCGAAATTCGGAACAAACCTCCGGTAATATGAGGCGAACCCCAAAAACCGACGCACATCACCCACCGTGGCGGGGGTTGCCCAATCCCGGACACACGCAGTTTTCTCTGGATCCGTGGCCACCCCGTCCGCACTAACAATATGTCCCAAGTATCGAACGGAACGTTGCAGTAGATGACATTTCTTAGGCTTAAATTTCAAATTAGCAGAACGCATTCTGGCAAAAACGGCCTCCAACCGCAATAAATGCTCATCAAATGTGCGGCTGAAAACAATAATATCATCTAAATAAATGAGACATGTCTCCCACTGCAACCCCGTCAATACCAACTCCATCAATCTCTGAAAGGTGGCAGGGGCTGCATTCAACCCCATCGGCAGACAGTTAAATTGGAACAACCCCTGCGGCGTACGGAACGCTGTCTTTTCCCGCGAGGGCTCGTCAAGGGGAAGCTGCCAGAAGCCCGAAGAGAGATCTAGCGTTGAAAAAAACTTAGCCCCTGACAAGGCGTCGAGAGAATCGTCCATACGCGGCAGGGGATACGCATCTGCCACCGACACTTTATTCAACTTCCGAAAATCCACACAAAATCGTAATTTACCATCTTTCTTTTTAACCAACACGACAGGCGCGCCCCACGGGCTATTAGACGGAGATATAATATCCGCTTTCAACATGTCTTCCACTGCCCCTCGCACGTGCTCACGCTCAGCCGGACTCATCCGACGCGAGTTCAAGCGGATAGGGGCCGCGTCCCCCGTTTCGATGTGATGAGAGAGCAGCGAGGTGCGTCCCAAGTCCAAATCGTCCGAGCTAAACACATCGGAATAGCTCGCTAATAATTTATGAATCGCACAACGCTGCTCAGCGGAAAGGGCCGAATTTTCCGCACATAGTTCGGCGATCCAACGATCGTCCACCCCTCCGTCGTGTGAAACACCACCCACCAGCCCCCCGTCCGGAATGTCACTCTGAGCCGTAAACGCCGTAGTGGCGTGTGCCACAACGGTACCAGCCGGCACACACACGCTTTCAGAACTCGCATTTAACACCTGCAAAAACGGGCGTTGATCCGGACGGACAATGGTTTGCGCCCCCACCAGTGCCAATCCGCCCGTAACAGCGGCGGACGGCGACAGCAAAATTCCACAAGCACCCTGCCGACCCGGAACCGGCTTCCGGTATCGTAGGGGAATGAGCATCTGCGAGCCAGGTGGAATATCAACTGAAACTTCCGATAACGCCTGCACCTGGGCAACCGGAGCCGGTCGCCCCCAGGTGGACTGTAAAAACGCCAATTTGCGGCCCCCTGGTAGTTCAATGCAATTTTCATTGATTCTAATTAGAATGGGCATCTTAGCCAAAAAATCCGTGCCCAACAAGCAAGGGACCGCCAGGGACCTCGAAATTAACACAACGCCCGAGGCCGAGACCCCCCGATAGAAATATTAGCGTCCACCTGTCCCACGATGCCCATACTACCCCCGTTCGCAGCGATGCAGGAAGCGTAAGCCGGCCTCACGGCCCCCGGTGGGATGTTCAAAAGATGGAATATGACATCCGAAATAATGGTCGCGGCCGCGACAACCCGCCGAGCCAACTTACGCCACTGCGTTATCGAGCGACAAGGCGCAGATACTGGCCTCCCATATTTTAGAACATCCGCGTCGCACAACAACGGCGATGAGTGAGGTGTCAGGCCTTGCCGGGTGTCTGGTGCGCACCGACTTGCCTGTGCCGGAGGGTCTTTCTTTGGGACGTCCGCGATCGAGGCCTCCTGCTGGGGCGGCCCCGGAACCCGGGCCCAGCAGTCCCTGGCATAGTGGCCCCGACGGCCGCAGCGGAAACAGTCGACGTCGGGTCGGCGCGCAGCAGGCACCCCGTCCCGACGTGGCCGCGCCGGCGGCGGAGCCCGCAGCCCCGGCCCGCTTCGAGCCGGCCACGGAGTGGAGGCGGCCGACAGCTCCTTGGGGCCGGTCGCATCCGGCACGTACACGGCCTTTGTAGGGTCCCACCCTACGGCCCCCCCATCGACGACAGGACCGCCCGTCCACGCCGCGACTTGTTTCCAGCGGCGGAGATTGAACTGGGCGTCCAAACACTTGGCCGCGGTCCGGGACGTGAGTTTCTCGTGACCGCACGCCGGCATAGGAATGCCCAGATCCCGGGATAACTCCAACATCTTCCCCAAGATGAGAGGTTCCAGCAGGTCAGGCTCCGTCTCCGGGTAAGCGGCCATCGCGAGTTCCAGCACGGCGCCCCTGTACGCTACAGGCGACTCCTCCGGTGCGCGTTGCCGCTGCACGAAGCGGCGATGGGCGTCATCCGGTGGCTCGTACGCGTCCGCCATTTCGTCGAACACTCCACGCAATGTTTTCTTCTTCGCAGCTTTTATAGAGCGAAAAAAACGAACAGACTCATCGTCAAGGAGAGTCGGAAGCACCTCCAGCGCCTCGGCGTCCGTCCACCTTGCCGTTCGTACCGCCGCCAAAAATCGACAAGCGAACGCACTCCAATCGCCCCCGATGGAGAACTCCTTAACAGTTGTAAGGTGACGACTGCGGCTCCTTGGCCTGCTTCCGTCCGTCACCGACTCTTCCGGCGGCAAGTTCAGCAAGGCGTCGCAACGCGGTGTCGCCAAGATGGCGGACGATCCTCGTGGCGGCCCCAAAATGGCGGCTTCCCGCCTTCCGTGGTGCGCCACGCCCAAGATGGCGTCTTCACGCCGCGTGGCCGATGGCGGCGCCATCGAAGACGACCCGGGCTCCTGCCGATCACCACCATCACCTTCCAACGCCGCCCTTGGCGTGACAAGGTCACACAACTCCGTGATGACGGTTTTTAGGGTCGCCAGTTGCTCCGCCATCCGGGTCCATCTTAAATCTTCGTCCTTCAACGCAGATGGGTCGGACGCAGCGGCAACCTCCTCCACACCCGGGCCCTCACGGATCTCTCCCTCCGCCGAAGTGAAACCGACCTCAGGAGGAAGATCGTCGTCGTCCGATGATGAAGCCGACGCCGGAGATGGGATATTCTTCTTCCTCAGTTGTTTCGCCATGCCGTTTCACTTCTGACTCCAGTGTAATAAAAGGACTCGAACACTTCTCTCTGTCTTCGTGTCTTTATTCAGGTTCACGTCTTTACCCACACGGCACTCTGTTATAACTCCTGTATTTGTAGCCCCCGGCTATTCACTGCTATTATAGCTTCCTCTCCCCTCTGACTCTCTGCTTCATCTACTGTAACCTCCTCCCTGCAGACTCGCTGCTACCCCTATGCAGACTCCCGCTGCTACCCCTATGTGCAGACCCTCTGGCTGTCACTGTATGCAGACCCGCTGCCCACCCTCTCTGTGCAGCCCCGCTGCTGACTGCAGCCTCCTCGCTGCTTCGGGTCGGTCACCGCTGGCCAACGGTGCCGATCCTCGCTCCCCCCGTGTTCGTGGCGATCTCGCCACACCCCGCTTCGCCCTTCGTGGCCTTCCTCTGTTCCTGGTTCCCCGTCACTCCCTTGCTCTTCCGGTTCCCCTCCTTCTATACTCAACCCCTCTGCCCCCCACGTGACCTAACTCCTCCCCCCCTGACGGCACCTCAGAAGGGCCGTTTACAACCGCATTACAAGTGTGTACGTGCGGTGTGAGTGGTGAGTGTGTACGTGCGGTGTGAGTGGTGAGTGTGTACGTGCGGTGTGAGTGGTGAGTGTGTACGTGCGGTGTGAGTGGTGAGTGTGTACGTGCGGTGTGAGTGGTGAGTGTGTACGTGCGGTGTGAGTGGTGAGTGTGTACGTGCGGTGTGAGTGGTGAGTGTGTACGTGCGGTGTGTGTGGTGAGTGTGTACGTGTGGTGTGAGTGGTGAGTGTGTACGTGCCGTGAGTGTGGTGAGTGTGTACGTGCGGTGTGAGTGGTGAGAGTGTACGTGCGGTGTGAGTGGTGAGTGTGTACGTGCGGTGTGTGTCGTGAGTGTGTACGTGCGGTGTGAGTGGTGAGTGTGTACGTGCGGTGTGTGTGGTGAGTGTGTACGTGCGGTGTGTGTGGTGAGTGTGTACGTGTGGTGTTAGTGGTGAGTGTGTACGTGCGGTGTGTGTGGTGAGTGTGTACGTGCGGTGTGAGTGGTGAGTGTGTACGCACCGTGCGGTGTGTGTGGTGAGTGTGTACGTGCGGTGTGTGTGGTGAAAGTGTACGTGCGGTGTGAATGGTGTGTACGTGCGGTGTGTGTGGTGAGTGTGTACGTGCGGTGTGAGTAATGAGTGTGTACGTGCGGTGTGAGTCGTGAGTGTGTACGTGCGGTGTGAGTGGGGAGTGTGTATGTGCGGTGTATGTGGTGAGTGTGTACGTGCGGTGTATGTGGTGAGTGTGTACGTGCGGTGTGAGTGGTGAATGTGTACGTGCGGTGTGAGTGTGTACGCACCGTGCGGTGTATGTGGTGAGTATGTACGCACTGTGCGGTGTGAGTGGTGAGTGTGTACGTGCGGTGTGTGTGGTGGGTGTGTACGTGCGGTGTGTGTGGTGAGTGTGTACGTGCGGTGTGAGTGGTGAGTGTGTACGTGCGGTGTGTGTGGTGAGTGTGTACGTGCGGTGTGTGTGGTGAGTGTGTACGTGCGGTGTGAGTGGTGAGTGTGTACGCACCGTGCGGTGTGTGGTGAGTGTGTGGTGAGTGTGTATTCACTATGCGGTGGGCGTGCGCGTGTGCAGGTGGCGGAGCTGCAGAACCAGGGCTGTGAAATGTTGATCGTGACGAGCGGCGCCGTCGCCTTCGGCAAGCAGCGCCTGCGCCACGAGATCCTCCTGTCGCAGAGCGTGCGCCAAGCGCTGCACTCCAGCCACAACCAGCTCAAGGACATGGTGACGCATGCAGTGATACACACGTTGACACGCACAGTGACACACGCAGTGACACACACGTTGACATGCACAGTGACACACACAGTGACACATACGTTGACACGTACGTTGACACGCACAGTGACACACACAGTGACACACATGGTGACACAGAGCGTGCACCAAGCACTGCACTCGAGTCACATCCAGGTCAACGCCGTGCTGTGATTGTGGTTGTTTTTGTTGTTAACGTGGTTGTTGTGGTTGTAGGGGTTGTGGTAGTTGTGGTGCAGGCGGAGCCTGTGCTGGAGGCGCATGCCTGTGAAGCTGTTTGGTTGTTGTAGTGGTGATTATGGTTGTTGTGGTGGTTGTGGTAGTGGTGCTGCAGGCGGTGCCGATACTGGAGGCACATACGTGTGAAACTGTGTGGTTGTTGTTGTGGTGGTGCCTGTGCTGGAGGTGCATGCATGTGAAGGTGTGTGGTTGTGGTTGTGCTTGTTGTGGTTGTTGTCGCGGTGTAGGCGGAGCCTGTGCTGGAGGAGCGTACCTGTGAAGCTGTTTGGTTGTTGTAGTTGTGATTATGGTTGTTGTGGTGGTTGTGGTGCTGCAGGCGGTGCCCATACTGGAGGCACGTACGTGTGAAACTGTGGTTGTTGTTGTGGTGGTGCCTGTGCTGGAGGCGCATACATGTGAAGGTGTGTGGTTGTGGTTGTGCTTGTTGTGGTTGTTGTCGCGGTGTAGGCGGAGCCTGTGCTGGAGGAGCGTACCTGTGAAGCTGTTTGGTTGTTGTAGTTGTGATTATGGTTGTTGTGGTTGTGGTTGTTGTGGTGGTGCAGGCGGTGCCCGTGCTGGAGGCGCGTGCGTGCGCCGCTGCGGGGCAGAGCGGCCTCATGGCGCTCTACGAGGCGATGTTCACCCAGTACAGCATCTGCTCCGCACAGGTGACGACCGCCACCACAGCCACCAACAGCAACAGCACCAATACCAATACATAACCACGACGCCTGTGCCAGGCCAGGTGCACTTGGAGGCCACGTGAAGTCTCATTGGCAGGAGGTCACGAGACAGACCCAGGTGCCATGAGTTGGCTGACTGAGACGACTGGCTGATGCACCAACTGTGCCCCCTACTGTGCCAACCTGCTGTGCTTTAGCCACCCGGTGCTCTGCTCGTGGTTGTGAGCATCGCTCCTCTGCCCTCTGTTGTTGTTGGAGGGTGACTGCCTCCAACTGCTCCATAGAGGCCGATCTTGACACCGCTGGTACCAGTATTTGGCAAGTCCACTTAGCTCCACATCCTCAATCCATCTTCTCTCCAGCCCATGTCGTGCCCGTTTAACCCCCTCTATCTGGCCAAACGGCAGCTGCTTGGGGTGCCATGGCGGTGAGATGTGAACTACCTTGCTGGTATACAGGAGGTCGTGGGTTCGATCCCGACCCTGATGCTTGTATATTTGGAGGTTGCATGTTCTCCCCGTGGTCGTGTGGATATTTCTCTGGATCCTCCAGTTTTTCCCTCCATTTAAAAACATGAATTTAGAGTATTTGTCTGCTATAAATTTCCACACGATAAGCTACTTAATTGAGATATAATTTGTGGCCAGGTTGCTTCCAAAAAAGAGCTTCATAGCTCAGTCGGCCTTATCTGGTAAAAATTAGTTTTTTTAAATGCAGTAGTTTGGCATGCGGGCTACATGACCTAGCCAATGCAGCCTTGCCTGCCGGAGGAGCTCACTGATGAGAATGTGCCCAGATCTTTCAAGGATTTGTGAGCTTATCGCACAATACAGCCTGGTTAAGCCCAAGATGGATCGTAGGCAGGCCAGCCTGAATGGTTCAAACCAGTGCAGGTGTTCCATTAGAGGGGTCTATGTTCACAAGCATAGATAAGGGGGAGGGCATGACCGTGACCAAGAAGACCTGAAGCTTCGTGTAGAGCGACAGACCAAGAAGCTTCCACACAGCATTACGCATCCAATGAAAAGAAAATCTCGCTCGACTGATTAAAAGTGAGACCTCTACTTTCAAACCAGAGATGGTTACTATCTCCACAATTGCTCTATCACCAATGAAGAGTTGAGGGGTGGAGTTTTTGATGCGACAAAATATCCAGGCAGGTGCTTAGTTTCGGTGGGGTTGATGGTAAGATCCCACCTCTTAGTGGCACGCTCCTGGTTCAGCAGCAGCACCTCCCACTCCTCTGAGTGAGCAGCAATCACCAGATCATCCGCATACATAACATGGTTGGTCAATAGGGATTCATCCCTCAATCACACCTGGGCATCGATCAGCTTCCCATTGTATCTCTACCAGATAGAAATTCCTCCAGTACAGCCATGGAAATCTTCTTGAACTACATGGTCAAAGATGATGTTAAGTAATATGGGAGCCAGAGTATATCTCTGTCGCACCCCAAGGTGAACAGGGAATGGCTCTGACTCCTGGCCCATGTAGCTTTACCCGGGCCTGCCCACCATCATGGCCCTTAAGCATTGTGAGCAGAGAGTCAGAGACTCCAAAAGAACTCAGACCAGCCCAGATCCCTGGCCTGTTGATGGTATCATAGGCCTTAACCAGGTCAATAAAGCAGAGATGTAGGTCTTGTTTGAATTCTCTATACCTTTGCTGTAGCAGACGGACAGAGAATATGGCATCCTAGCAGGACCGTCCTGGTCTGAAACCACATTGGGGCTCTGCAAGCCTCTCCTCAGCGTGGCTGGCAAGGCAATGTTGAATCATCTTTGCCAAGACCTTTCCCGGCACACTGAGAAGGAAGATGCCCCTGTAGTTGTTACAGTATGTGCAGTCCCCTCTCTTAAAGAGGCGGACCACCACGGGGACACCTTCCATTCCTGCACCACAACCAACAGCACCACAAACACCCCCACAACCACCACCACCACAACCCCAACAACCACCGCCACATAAGAAACCACCAGCACCACAACTGCCACAACTACAGTAGAGCATCAATTATCTGTCGAAAACAAATATCCTACTGTAAAAAGTTACCGTATTTACTGTACCGTACTCACCACTCCAATCTCAAATGCAAGGGGTGATGTACATACTCCGCTCTTGTTTCAACTACGTGTGTTTTATCGATCTCCTGACTGATGCAGCTTTTCGACCAAATCTACGGCTAACGCCGAATTGCGCGCACTTTTCGCTGGATCGCACTATATTTTCCGTTTTTATTACCGTCGTTATTCGGCATGAAAAATGTATATATACGTGCAGTATTTTGATTGTTTAAGTTGTTGAATGTGATATATAATATACTGTATGTAAAATTTGACACTGAAATCAAGCATAGGTACTGTTTTGTCACGCTAATCGCCGGACTGGAACAGCCTTCGGAGCGGTTTTGCCGGTTTTGCCGCATCAGTCCGGAACCACCGGATAATGTTGGAAGCCGGATAATCGCGCACCGGATAATCGACGATCAACTGTATAACAACCACAACTACCATTACCATCTTGTCTCCATCTCACCGTGTCTCTGTCTTCTTCTTACCATGTCCCTGTGTCACCGTGTCCCCGTGTCTCTGTATCTCAGATCCTGGTGACGAACCTGGACTTCCACGACCAGCAGAAGCGCCTTAACCTGCGTGGCACGCTAGACGAGCTGCTGGCCATGAACATCGTCCCCATCATCAATGCCAACGACGCCGTGGCCCCTCCACCCGAGCCCAGCGGGGACCTCGCCGGGGTGCGGAGACACGGCCTCCCCGCCACCGCCACGGCAACAACAACAACAACCGCAGCACAACCGCATGGCGTGCGCCACCACAACCACCCACAATCACAAGCACTCGCAACAGTCGCACTCACTGGCACAAGCTCTGCACGATGTGCGTGCTTGTGCGACTGCAGAAACAACCCCTCACCTCGGTGGTTGCCGGTCGGTAATGCTGTCGTGGCTGTAAGCAACGCCATTTGAGACAATGCCAATCGGCCGTTCCCCTCATGGTACTCGTAGCCGCCACGGTGGCCAACGGGGCCTGTGGACGGGCACAAGCTGCTGGTAAGCCCCTCCACCTTGAACTCGTTCACCAGAAAGCCGCGTATAAAGGAGCCAGGAGACTGAACCCGCACCCTCCAGAAACGGCACGAAGCCACTGCGATTGGTCACGTGAAATGTTTGTGGAGCTGATCTGCCCACTGACTTGTCATCTGTAAGATGCGCCTGCCATTCTTCCACAGGTGGTGGGTGCCCACCAAGGACCCCATTCAAACCCACAATATCTTGGTACCGACTTGCTGAAAGTTTTAAGCAAGAATTTCATCGCCTGCAGCTGGGGTTGGCATCGTCCCCTCCCCCTCCTGATGTTGAAGAAAAATGGGTGAGGTTCAGGACTGTGGCTTGGTGCAGTTGCTGCGTTGGGTTCACAGCCAATGCCTCCCCATTGCAGCCACGCAAAATATGCAGCCTTACCGCAGCCTTCGCTCAGAGGTTCAGGGAGCTGTACGCCACTGCAAGGATGAGTGGTGGTCGTGGGAGGAAGAGGAAGCTCATGAAGGACGCTACTGGGCAGTGGAAGGCAGTCGCCCTCCAAAAACAGAAGTGGGCAGAGGAGCGACGCTCACAATGACAGACAGAGCACCGGAGAACAAAAACGCAGCGAGTCGGTGCAGTAGGGGGCACCGGTGGCACATCTGCCAGTCGTCTCAGTAAACCCCCACGGCACGACCTGGCTCTGTTCCATCATCCGGTCACAACGTCTCAAAATTCACTTTACTTGGCAAAAGAGTTTTGGTTATGTCATCGTCACCGACTGGCGAACGGCGGCTGTATTATGCGCCGTGTTATGTATGGTGTGGAGTGTAGGTTACAGCATGTCCGTCGGGGTGTGTGTGGTGTGTCTAGGTGATCAGCGTGCAGGATAACGACAGTCTGGCGGCGAGGATCGCCGTGGAGATGGAGGCTGATCTCCTCATCGTCCTTTCCGACGTCGAGGGTACGGCCACCACCACCACTACTACCACAACAACCACTACCACAATAACCACAATCGCCACCACAATCACCACGATCGCAATCACAACCACAATCACCACCACAACAAACACCGCAATAACCACGATGACGTATGTTGATGGTGTATGATGACGAGGTGCTGGTGACGAGTTGTATAGATGGTGACGAGGTGGTGGTGATGAGGCGTGTTGATGGTGACAGGGTGGTGGTGTGTGCGAGTGTGCAGGGCTGTTTGACAGCCCTCCTGACTCTGAGGACGCCAAGCTGCTGGATGAGTTCTACCCGGACGAGGCGGCCGCCATCACCTTCGGGGGGAAGTCTCGCGTCGGTGTCGGGGGCATGGAGGCCAAGGTGACGGGGTGGTGGGGGGCTGGTGGGGGGCTGGTGAGGGGGTGGTGGGAGGGTGGTGGGAGGGTGGTGGGGAGGGTGGTGGGGAGGGTGGTGGGGAGGGTGGTGGGGAGGGTGGTGGGGAGGGTGGTGGGGAGGGTGGTGGGGAGGGTGGTGGGGAGGGTGGTGGGGAGGGTGGTGGGGAGGGTGGTGGGGAGGGTGGTGGGGAGGGTGGTGGGGAGGGTGGTGGTAGTAGTGGGGTAATGAGGGAGTGGGATGGTGGGGTGATGGCGTGGTGGGGAAATGAGTTGGTGGGTGGTGGGGTGATTGGTCAATGGGGTGGCGGGTGGTGGAGTGACGGGGTGACGGTTGTGGGTGGTGGGGCGGTGGTGGGGCGGTGGGGTGATGAGGTTGTGGGTGTCGGGCCGGTGGCTCTGCCTGGGGTTGCCGGCCATGGCTGACTGCTGCTTCCGTAGCGGCCGCCCAATGTCGCAGCGGCTGCTCCTCTCGCAAGAGCAGCTTTGTGGGTCTCTGTGGGTGTTTCTGTATCTCTATGTGTCTCTGTGTATCTCTACTAGCTGTACTACCCGGCTTCGCCCGGGACTTGGATCCACCACGGCCGGCCGCCTTTGTCTCCCCAGTGGCGATGTTCATACGCCACACCAGTTACTCGTTTTGAGGCTGAGTCGACCTAGGGGAGGCCCAGGACCGGTTCAAATAATCGTCACCGGTGGTGGCCGTGAGCGGGAATGGAATTCGGGTCGCCGGGTTCGTAGCGCGGCGCGCTAACGACGACACTACAATGCGTTACGCTTCCGTTGTAGGGTTTGTGTAAGGCGCGCCGATCCGTTGTAGGATTTGTGTGAGGCGTACCGATTCGTTGTAGGATTTGTGTGAGGCGCGCCGATCCGTTGTAGGGTTTTAGTGAGGCGCGCCGATCCGTTGTAGGGTTTTAGTGAGGCGCGCCGATCCGTTGTAGGGTTTGTGTGAGGCGTGCCGATCTGTTGTAGGGTTTTAGTGAGGCACGCCGATCCGCTGTAGGGTGGTGGGGTGTCAAGGCCTAGTACCGTGCAGAGCCTCCGGCCTCGCCTAAATTGCCCACCCGGCTGAGGCTGGGTACGGGTGCCATTCCCCCCCCCACGCTACAATAAGACTGTCTAATCGCTATAATTTTATTATCTACCGACCCTATAATAGTAATTGCACACATTGGGGTGGCGGGGGAGTGAAGAGGACGTGAAAGTTTGATGAATTTACCTCAGAGTCGCGTGGTGGGTGTCGAGGCCTAGTACCGTGCAGAGCCTCCGGCCTCGCCTAAATTGCCTACCCGGCTGAGGCTGGGTACGGGTGCCGTTCCCCCCCCCCCCGCTACAATAATACTGTCTAATCGCTATAATTTTAGAATCTACCGACCCTATAATAGTAATTGCACACATTGTGGTGGGGGGGAGTGAAGAGGACGTGAAACTTTGATGAATTTACCTCAGAGTTGCGTGTTAATGCGTGCGCCTATTTTTAACGGGAATTAAAAATGGCGTCCACCCCGCGGCGAATGCGTCGCTACCCGTTGCCAGGGGCAACCGCCGGACCAATCGTGTCTCGCAAATCCCTGACATTTCGTCCAATGAAACTGCGTATGGTCCGATACACAGACAGACAGATAGACAGACAGATTTGCGATTTTATATATATATATAGATGTATTTCTGTGGGTTTCTGTGTATCTCTGTGGGTCTCTGGGTGTTTCTGTATCTCTGTGTCTCTTTGTATAGCTATGTGTCTCCGTGCATCTCTGCGGGTGTTTGTGGGTCTGTATCTTTACGTGTCTCCGTGCATCTCTGCGGGTGTCGGGGTGCAGGTGAAGGCTGCGCTGTGGGCCTTGCGGGGCGGCACCGCCGTGGTGATTGCCAATGGCACCAACCCCAAGGTGACTGGGCACGTCATCACCGACATCCTTGCCGGCAAGCGCGTCGGCACCTTCTTCACCGAGGTCAAGCCCGAGGGTACGGCAACCAGGTGCAGGGGCTGGAGAAGGAGGGGGTGATGGTGGTGGTAGTGATGATGGTGAAAATGGTGATTGGGGTAGTGATGATGATGGTGGTGGTAGTGATGATGATGGTGGGGGTGGTGGTTGTGATGATGATTATGATGGTAATGATGATGATGGTGGTGATGATGATAGTGATGACTGGTATTGATGATGGTGGTGCTGTTAGTAGTGATGATGTCGGTAGTGATGATTGTGGTGATGTTGATGATTGGCATTGATGATGGTGGCGATGTGCAGGGATGAGTGTGGAGACTCAGGCAAAGCTGGCGCGAGCAGCAGGCAGGGAGCTGTCCACACTGCAACCTGAGCAGGTGAACACTCTGCAAAGACTCCCTGTGTAGCCTTCACACACTCTGTGCTGTCCGTGAGCACCTAATGAAGGCCGGCACGGCACACGAGTGGGTGGGTGGCCAGAACCACGCCCGGCAGCCTTGGTTTTCCTCGTGGCGATGTTTACACCCTGCACCTGGTTCTCATTTGAGGCTGAGTCACCCAGACACATACTGACATACGCACCTGCGCTGACATGCACACGCACAGACCATACGTGTGTGTAAGGTGTGTACGGTGTGTTGTGTGATTGCGAATGTGGTGTGCATTTGGCGTTTGTAGCTGTGTGATGCTGCGAGCACGATGCTGCAGTGCGACACTGTGCTCACGTGACGCTGCATGCGTGATGCTCCTGTGTGATGCTGGGTGCGTGTGATGATGCGGTTAGCGCGCTGCGCTACGAACCTGGAAACCCGAGTTCGATTCCCGCTCACGGTCAATGCTAGTGACGATTATCTGAACCGGTCATGGGCCTCCCCTTGGTCGACTCAGACCTCAAATAAGTACCTGGTGCAGTGCGTGAAGTGAACATCCCCACTGGGGAGACAAAGGTGGTAGGGCGTGATGTTGGCCACCCACCCCCTCGTGTGCCGTGCTGGCCTTCATAGGTGCTCGCTAACAGCACTTGCCCCTACAGTCTGTTAAGGCTACACGGGGGATCATTGTCTTTGTGTGACGCTGCTCTGTCGTAGCGGGCGGAGATCGTGATACGTCTGGCCGAGCTGCTGACCGAGAGGGGAGACGAGATCCTGGCAGCCAACCGAGTCGACCTGGAGGCGGCGGCCTCCACCGGTACCAGCATCTGCATCACCCTCGCTCACTCGTACTCGCTCGCTCACTGGCTACCACTCACAATCGCTCACTCGCACTCGCTCACTCGCACTCGCTCACTCACTTCCACTGACTCGCTCGCTCACTGACTCACTTGCTCGCTCTCACTCACTCATCCTCACTCTCACTCACTCTCACTCAAACTCTCACTCGCTCACTACTGTGGTCCCGTGTGTGTTGATGTACCGGTGTGTCCTGTGGTGCGGTGAGTGTTGACGTACCGGTGTGTCCTGTGGTGCGGTGAGTGTTGACGTACCGGTGTGTGATGTGGTGCGGTGAGTGTTGACGTACCGGTGTGTGATGTGGTGCGGTGAGTGTTGACGTACCGGTGTGTGATGTGGTGCGGTGAGTGATGACGTACCGGTGTGTGATGTGGTGCGGTGAGTGATGACGTACCGGTGTGTACTGTGGTGCGGTGAGTGGTGACGTGCCGGTGTGTGATGTGGTGAGTGTTGACGTGCCGGTTTGTGCCACGTCGTGGCTTGTGTATTCCCCGCGGTGTGGAGCAGGCTTGGCCGAGCCCCTGCTGAAGAGGCTTTCTCTCTCCACTGCTAAGCTGAACAGCCTGGCTATCGGGCTGCGTCAAATCGCGGTGGCGTCCACGACAGCGTTGGGGCGCGCGCTGCGCCGCACGCTGCTCGCCCCGGGCCTGGAGCTGGAGCAGGTGACGGTTCCCATTGGCCTCCTCCTCGTCATCTTCGAGTCACGCCCCGACTGCCTGCCTCAGGTGAGCTCTGGCTCCACGGGGAGGAGTGGGGCATGGGGGGTTGCAGGGGAGCGCACTCTGAATTTTCTCAGCCACAATAAAAACGCAGCAAATTGGCACAGTAGGGGGGGCGCAGGTGGTGCATCTGCGAGCCATCTCAGTCGGTCAACTTATGACCCCTGCCAGCGGCCTGCAACACTTCACGTGGCGTCGAGGTGCACCTCGCCTGTGGTGACGTCACCGCCACATAGTGTGCGTATATAAATGTGCACGTGTGTGTGTGTATATAAATGTGCACGTGTGTGTATATAAATGTGCACGTGTGTGTATATAATTGTGCACGTGTGTGTATATAATTGTGCACGTGTGTGTATATAGAAGTGTGCACGTGTGTGTGTGTAGGTGTGGTCCTGGCCACCCACCCCCTCGTGTGCCGTGCCGGCATTCAGAGGTGCTACTCGCTAACAGCACTTGCCCCAACAGCTGGTAAGGCTGTACGGGGGATCTTTGCCTTTGTTAAGTAGGTGTATGTGGGTGTGTGTGTGTGTGTTGTGGTTGTGTGGTTATGCAGGTGACGGCGCTGGCGGTTGCCACGGGTAACGGGCTGCTCCTGAAGGGTGGGCGTGAGGCGACGCGCTCCAACCAGGTGCTGCACGCGCTCGCCCAGGAGGCGCTGGCGCTGCACGGCGCGTCCGCAGCGGTGCAGCTGGTACCCACACACAAACAAGACGCAGAATCCCCCTCGTAGCCTTCACAGACTGTTGGGGCAAGTGATGTTAGCGAGTAGCGCCTACAAAGGCCGGTATGTCACTCGAGGGGGTGGTGGGCCAGCACCACGCCCGACCGCCTTTGTCTCCCCAGGTAGCGATGTTTACACACCGCACCAGGCACTCGTTTAAAGCTGAAGCGACCGAGCGAAGGCCCAGATCCGGTTCAGATAATTGTCACCGATGTTGGCAGTGAGCGGGAATCGAACTCTGGTCGCCGGGTTGGTAGCGCAGTGCGCTAACCACTACGCTACCGTTCCCCACACGCCTACTCACAAATAGACACACATACTCCCCCATGCACGCTACCAACATCGTGGCACTTTCCCCAACTGCCTGTGTAGGCCACATCGGTGTGGGAGTATATCTGCATCTGTCGTGTGTGTACGTGTACATGTGTCTGTTCATATCTTTGTCTTTGTGCATGTGTCCATATGCGTGCGTGCATGTGCGCGTGTCCAAGCGTGTGTGCATGCATGTCTGTGTGTGTTTGCGTGCATGTGTAAATGTATGTCCATATCTCTGTGTCCATGTGTGTGTCTTTGTGTGTGCGTGTCCGTGTGTGTGTCTTTGTGTGTGAGTGTCTTTGTGTGCGCGTGTCCGTGTGTGCGTGTGTAGGTGTCATCCCGCGAGGAGGTGAGCGATCTCTGCCGGATGGACAAACTCGTCGACCTCATCATCCCTCGGGGCTCCTCGTCTCTGGTACACACCACAGTGCCAGACCCTGACCCTGACCCCGACCCCGACCATAACCGTTGTCAACACACCAAAAGACAAAGATCCCCTCTTTAACCTCAGCAGACCGTTGGGGCAAGTACTGTTAGTGAGCACCTGTGAAGGCTGCACTAGCACACGAGAGGGTGGGTAGCCAGGGCCACGACCGGCCGTCTTTGTCTCCCCAGTGGGGGATGTTAACACATTGCACAAGATGCTCATTTGAGGCTGAATCGACCTAGGCAAGGCCCAGGACCGGTTTGACCCCTAACACATGCACACCCGGCGGCCGCCATTTCTCCATTGTATAAAGTTTCTTATTGTGGGTGCTCAAAAAAATGTCCATCTCCATCTGCTAAGCATTGAATGTCTGCAGAGGAGTTGAGGCTCGTCACGCATGAGGTGAGTCAGGAGTGCAAGGCCCTCCCCAGAGCTGTCGTGTGGCCCTTGAAGAATGTCAACTTTGAATCGGCAATGGGCTCCTGAGGGAGAGAGTGTACCGGTGGAGCGTACCGGCAGAGCGTACCGGCAGAGCGTACCGGCAGAGTTTGGGTCTAGAAGGCTGCGACCCATGCGTGGGGGGGGGGTCTGTTCCATGCCGTTAATGTCTCTTGGAGCTCGGTGTTTAAATGGGCTGAGTTTTGCACGGTCTTTTTCGCAGGTTTGTGAGAGTGTTTGGGCCTCCACTAGCCCACTGGGTTAGTAGTCGCTGATGGACCGGCACAGGGGCTAGGGTGGCCACGTGGGACGTGTGGCAGGTTACCTCGAGAGTAACGTCCTCATTGAGGTGGAGTTCCTCGAGTGCCCCAACACAGGGCGGCGTACAGCGGCCGCTCATCGGAGCGTGTCTGTGAGCACCTGTGAACACCGGTGTGAACGTGAGCGTGTGGTGTGGCCATCCGCGTTGTGCCGCTCTGCGTGCAGGTGAGCTCTATCACGCGGGCTGCGCGTGGCATCCCCGTGCTGGGGCACAGCGAGGGCGTGTGCCACGTGTACATAGACAAGGACGCGGACACGGACACTGCGCTCAAGATAGGTACAGACAGATGTCCCCCTACGCCTCTGAGACACACCAACCAAAACCAATACTCACCATTCGCCACGAAGTGACTTTGAGGCCACGTGCGGTGTCGAAGGTGTGCTAACAGGAGATCACGGGACAGAACCAGGTGCCATAGGTTGGCTGACTGAGATTACTGGAATATTAGCCACCTGGTGCACTCCGCTCATTGTTGTAAGCATCGCTCCTCTGCCTCCAACTGCCCAGTTGGAGGGCGACTGCCTCCAACTGCCCAGTTGTGTCTATCGTGAGCAGCTCTTGACACACCACTGGTACTAGTCTGGGGAAAGTCCACTCAGCTTCCTCCCAATCCGCATCAATGCATCTCTTCTCCAGCCCATGTCGTGCCTGTTTAGCCCCCTCTATGCGGCCAAACATAAGCTGCTCGGCATGCAGTGGCTGGGCATGCGGGCTACATGACCCAGCCAACACAGCCTTGCCTGTCGGATGATCTCACTGATGGTAATGTGTCCAGATCTTTCAAGGATTTGTGAGCTCCGCACAAAATCCAGCCTGGTGAAACCCAGGATGGATCGTCGGCAGGCCAGCCTGAATGTTTCTAATCAGTGCAGATGTTCAATTAGAGGGGTCCACGTTTCACAAGCATAGAGAAGGGAGGGTATGACTGTGGCTGAGAAGATCCAAAGCTTTGTGCGAAGCAACAGACCAGGTAGCTTCCACACAGCAGCGTTACACAGCCGATGAAAATATAATGCCGCCCGGCTGATTTGGAGCGAGACCTCCGCTGTCAAACCGGAGCTGGTCATAAGCGCACTGCCCATGTATGTGAAACTCTCCACTTTCTCCAACTGCTTCATCATCAATGGGGAGCTGAGGAGGTGAAGTGTTTGGTGACACAAAATACCCAGGCAAGTGCTTAGTTGCGGTGGGGTTGATGGTAGGGCCCCACCTCTTAGTGGCACACTCCAGGTTCAGCAGCAGCACCTACAACTCCTCCTGTGAGTGAGGAGCAATTATCAGATCATCTGCATACATAACATGGTTGACCAATAGGGAGCCATCCCTCGACTGCACCTGGGCATTGATCAGCCTCTTATTGTATCTCTACCAGATGGAAATTTCTCTTGGATGCACACACATGCTCATTGTTAGCAATGCCATGTAGGGAAGTCCAATTACAAAAACGGCAATGCTGCTTCATAGCACTTGTAGCCACCTAGTGGCCAAACGGGGACTCTGGATGGATGTGAGGGGCTGGTAACCCCTCCACCTTCAACTATTTACCACTAAACCACGTGAAAAATATAGAACGAAGCTTGTGTCATAGGTCCCGGAGAGACAGGCGTCTATGACGTTTACTGGCCAAACTCCATTTGGCGGAGCCAGGAGATTGAATCTTTACTCTCGGGGTTCCTCCAGAAATAGCAAAAAGCCATTGCGGGTGGCCACGTTGAATATTTGAACGGTCACTGCAGCGGAGAGGTTGCCACTCCACTGTTGGGGCCAGATCAGCTCAATAATAATGGTTGGAGGCTGCTAGACTTTTGTGCAGCCCATGGGCTTGTAATTACCAACATGCTGTTCCAGCATCGGCGCATCCTCACAACATCATGAATGAACGCTGGGTTTCAAGCAAGAACATCTGCTGGACAATATAGTGACAGCGGATGCAGGCCTATGTCCTTGACACCGGGACCTACCGTGGAGCTGATCTACCCACTGACCATGGCTTGTCATCTGTAAGATGCGCCTCCCATTATTCCACTGATGGTGGATGTACATCCAGGACCCCATTCAAACCCACAGTGACCTGGTCTTAGCTACCTGATGAAAGTTGCAAGCGAGAATTTCATCATCGTCCTCCCCTCCTCCTGATGCCGAGGAGACATGGGCGAGGTGTAGGACTGTGGCTCATGCAGCTGCAATGGCTCCTTTGAGTACACGGCCCACACCTCCCCAGAAACCGTGGCTGACAGAGGAGGTGTTTTGGCTGGCTGAGAAAGAGCGACAGGCCCACTCTCATCGGCTACAGGATCTCACGTCAGAGAATGAGGAGGCTTATCACAGCCCTCACTCGGAGGTTCAGAGAGCCGTGCGGCGCTGTAAGGATGGGTGGTGGTCGCAGGTTGCTGAGAAGATGGAGTCTGCCTCGGTAGCCCGTGATCACAAATCACTCTAACTCCATAAAAAAATACTTGCAGCGCCACACCTATCACCATCATTAGGGAAAATAAAGGTGATCCGATCTCCAACCCCCAGGAACAGGTTTGCAGATTTTCTGAGCATTTCTGTGAGGTCTTTGTGGAGGGGAAATCCCCGGCCTCGAAAATTTAGGGCAAAGTGGGGATGACCCTGCTGAGGCTGCTGTGCCACAAATATTGGAAGTCGTCACCCCCTGTGAATGATTGGCTAAAATGCTTTCTGTTGAAGTACAGAAGGCCATCTAGAGATGATCTCCCAAGCGAAATGCTGAGGGAGGGTGGTTTTTGTGTGCAGACTGCATTATATGACATCATAATAACAGTCTGGAACACTGGATGGGTTCTGCAGGATTGGAAGGATGCCCTGGTGGTCCTCCTCTTAAAGAAAGGGGATGGCACAGACTGTAATAACTACAGGGGAATCTCCCTTCTCAGTGTGCCGGGAAAGGTTATGACCAGGATTACTCAAGATCGCCTTGCCAGGCACACTGAGAAGAGGCTTGCGGAGCCCCAATGTGGTTTCAGACCAGGGCGGTCCTGCACGGATGTCATATTGTCTGTCTGCCTGTCTGCTACAACCGAGGTGTAGGGAATTCCCACAAGACCTACATCTCTATTTTAATTACCTGGTCAAGGTCTATGATGCCATCCGTAGGCCTGGCCTCTGGGTTCTTTGTGCTTTTGGAGTCCCTAATTTTGCTCACAATCATTAAGGACCTTTGTGATGGTGGGCAGGCCCGGGTAAGACTGTGGCCTTCCTATGATCTATTCTGGGTTTAAGCAGGTTGGATTGTGTGAGGAGCTCACAAATCCTTGCAAGTTCTGAACAAAGTCCCATCGGTGAGCTCATCCGTTAGGCAAGGCTGTGTTGGCTGGGTCATGTAGCCTGCATGCCCAAAACATGCATGCCCAAAACAGCTTTTATTTGGCTGGATAGAGGGGACTAAATGGGCATGGCACGGGCTAGAGATGAGAGGAAGTAATTTGGTACAAGAGGATGTGGAGCTGATTGGACTTGTCGATGATTGGTACCAGCAATCTTAAGATCGGCCTCAGTGGAGGAGGCTCATGAAGGATGCTACTGGGCAGTTGGAGGCAGTTGGTCTCCAGCAACAATGGAGGCCAGAGTAGCAATGCTCAAAACAACGAGCTGAGCATCGGGTGGATAAAACACAGCAAGTTGGCACAGTAGGGGGCACAGGTGGTACATCGGCCACTCACCCAGTCTGTCCCGTGACCTTCTGCCAGTGGGTGTTCCACACTTCACATGGCCTTAACGTGCACATACCTTGGCACAAGCTCCACCACCACTTAGTGGAAAATGGCGGTTGTTATTGTGTTTGTCTGTCTGTGTGTGTGTCGCTCTGTGTCGCTCTGTGTGTGCAGTGCGCGACTCTAAGTGCGAGTACCCGGCCGCGTGTAACGCGATGGAGACGCTGCTCATCCACCGCGAGCTCCTCCGCACGCCGCTCTTCGACCAGCTCATAGATGCGCTCCGAGCGGAGGGGGTACGGGGACACGGAAACACAGAGACACAGGGACACAGGGACACGGGGACATGGCTCATAGACGCGCTCCGAGCAGAGGGGGTACGGGGACACGGGTACACGGACATGGGGTCACAGCGACAGTGTTTTTGTTATTGTAATGGTCGTTGATGTTTTGGTGGTGGTGGTTGTTGTGGTTTTTGTTGTGGTGGTTGTTGATGTTGCAGTGGTTGTGGTGGTGGGGGCTGTAGGTGGTGATCCACGCGGGACCGCGGTTTGGCTCCATGCTGGCGTTTGGCCCTGCGGAGGCGGCGTCTCTGCGCCGTGAGTACGGGGAACTGGCCTGCTGCCTGGAGCTCGTGGAGGGGCCGGCCGGCGCTGTGGAGCACATCCACCACTATGGCAGCGGCCACACCGATACCATCGTCACGGCCAACGGTCTCGCCGCACCGCTCGCCACGCTCGCCACGCTCGCCACGCTCGCCACGCTCGCCACGCTCGCCACGCTCGCCACGCTCGCCACGCTCGCCACGCTCGCCACGCTCACCACACATTACAAAACACAAACACCACAACATACACACCACATGGACCACACTACATGCACCACACAACACATATCATAGCACACAACATATAATACACAACATAAACACAAGAACATACAGAATAATAAACAACAACACATACACAGCACACCTGTGTGTTTGTGTATATTGCTGCATCTGTGTGTGCTGTCTTTTGTGCTGTGTGGTTGTGGATTGTGTGGTGTGTATTGTGGTGCTATGTATGTGGGTTGTGGTTCTGTGTGTTCATTGTGCTGTATGTGTGTAGTGTGGTGTGTTTTGTGTATTGAGTGTGTTGTGTATTGTCATGTGTGTGTGTTGTGTAACAGAGGAGACGGCCGAGTACTTCTTGCGTCATGTGGACAGTGCGTGCGTGTTCTGGAACACGAGCACCAGATTCTCGGATGGATACCGATTCGGCCTGGGTACGGAACACCCATACACACACGCAACTACACACTTGCAACTACATACTACATGCACACAACTACACGACACACACTCGCAACTACACACTTGCAATTACAAACCACACGCTCGCAACTACACACTTGCAACTACACGCAAATACACGACACACACTACACACTCGCACGTACTTGTGGCAAAACATTGAAATTAAGATGCTTTGATTATAATATATGCATTGTTTTTAAACTGATTGGCTTACACCAGAGACAGCCTCCAGTATGGCCTTGTCTCACCACTGGTGTTAGTTCAGAGAAACCCAAACTGCGAACAGTACTAAGGCAATGCAAGCATCGCAGCATTAATAGCTCGGGTTGAGCGGTTTTCACTATAAACTAATCTGTACACACGAGTGTCAACAGAGGTTGTATAGTTTATTGATGTTGCTGCTGTAGGAGCGGAGGTGGGCATCAGCACCTCGCGTGTCCACGCCCGCGGCCCCGTGGGCATGGATGGCCTCCTCACCACCAAGTGGCTCCTCCGGGGCTCGGGCCACACGGCGGCGGCCTTCAACAACAATGGCGCCAGCTTCCTGCACGAGGACCTGCTGCCCACGGCGTGCCACCCGGCGCGCCACACCACCCACAGAGTCCACCCACACTCGTAGAGATGGTGCCACCCACAGAGATGGCGCTACCCACAGAGATAGTGCCACCCATAGAGATAGCGCCACCCATAGAGAGAGCACCACCCATAGAGATAGCGCCACCCACAGAGTCCACCCACACTCAGAGATCACACACCGTTTATAGAGGTCCCACACTTACCACTCACCACGTGCCACCACACACCCCACCCAGCCTGGCGCTCACCTGGGTGTGGTCTGCGCAAAACTGAGTGTGCCACGTGTCTGTGGCACACACCTCAAGGTCACTCGGCGGAGTGTCACATCTCAGTGTGTGACACACCTGAGCACGTCACAATTGTCCGTGTCACACGCCCAAGTGTGTCACTGGTGGTGTATCACACGGCGGAGAAGCTGGGAATTTGTTGTAAGGCACTAACGCTGCAACGTTTGACTCCCATCTCCGTTCCGAACGAGAGAGAACAGAGGGGCTCACTGCAGAATGAAGGAGGGAATGATTGCAGGCCCGGGTTTCCTTCGCTCGAGAGTTGCGTGATGGTGACCAGGTCCGCCTGTGTGTGAGGACAGATCTCTGTTACGATGACGCAAGCTGCATTTTTGCTGAATAAAGGAGTTGTGTTTCTCAGGTCTGCCTTGCTGGGGTGATTGTGTGTGGTAGTGGTTTGCCTGTGTGTGTATATATGTGGTGTCTGGGCTGTGTGTGTAGCTAATCTACACACTGACCATCAGCTTATCATCTGTAAGATGCACCATCTGTAAGCCCACAGTGGCCAGGTCTCAGCTCATTGATTAAATTGTCAAGCGAGAATTTCATCATGGCTTGCAGCTGGAGTTTGCATCATCCTCCCACCCCCCCCTGATGCCGAGGGGAAATGGGCGAGGTTTTACTACGGTGGCTCTTTCAGCTGCAATCGTTGCTTTGATTATGCTGTCCAAACCTGCCCAGAGAGACCCTGGCTGGTTGAGAAAGTGTTCCGGCTGGCTGAGCTATAGGCCCACTTCCACCATCTGCAGCATTCCATGTTGGAGAATGAGGCTTATCAGAGAGTCGTGTGGTGCTACAAGTGTAATAAAGGACTCTCTCTCGGATGTCGATCTCCGTTGTCCTTTATTGGGTTCGTAGAATCTCGTTACCACGGCGTCCTCGCTCAGGCCCGCGTCCCTCTCAACGACCTCTCCACAGCCCCTCGGCTGCTCCGATATGCAGTCTCCCTGCTGCTCTGTTAGGCAGTCTCCCTGCTGCTCCACCTTGCAGCCACACCGCTGCTCCGCTCTCTAGCTTCACTGCTGCCCTGTATACAGCTAGCCTCCTACAGCCCCTAGCTCTCTGCGTCTGACACCGATGGCGGACGGTGTCGACGTCTCCCACCGCGTGGCGACCGCGCCACTCTCTCCGTCCTGCCCAGTGTGGCCTCCTGTTTCACTCCGTCTCAACTTCCCTTTCCCCTTCCGGTTCTCCCCCTAAATCCTTTCTCCCACGTGACCCTAACTCCACCCACTCTCCACGTGACCCAGACTCCGCCCCCCCCTCAATCCTTGCTCGCATTACACAAGGATAAATGGTGGTCACGGGTTGCTGAGGAGAGATGCAGCCTGCCTCCGTTGCCCGCAATCACAAATCGCTCTTTAATTTAATCAAAGTAACTTGCAGGGGGAAGGGAAAGCCCTGGACCCACCGTGGGACGGCAACATCGACCAAACCGGCTGAATCCGAAAGGGGGAGGGCGGGCGCGTAGACGATGGATCGAGGAAAATAACGCTCCATGTAATGGCGGGACATCTGTTTAAAATCGAAAGGTAGGTGCATGATTGGCTGCGCGGTGCGACGTCCCTCTGGGCCTTTGAAGTTTAGAGAATAAAGGTTGGAGCCCTGGGACGATTAGGTCAGTTGTCTTCAACCTCCGGGTCATCAAGATCCACTCCCTGTCGTCCTGCCACGAGCCGCTCGCAGCATCCGTGTGATGCCAACGAGTGCTGCTACAAGGCAGTTGTGGGGGCTACTGCCCCCCGATTCCTCTCTGTGAGACATAACTCTCGGCTAGCCCCTTAGCCACCTTGTTCATTCAAACACTCTCCGTGTGCCTTCCCTCAAACATTGGTAATAACTACCCACACGCTACTGTTCAACTTCGTGCACGCTCTAGAAATCGCATGGCAGCTGGGGGTCGGAGGGCGAATGACTTCGCTCGCGCCTGCGTTGCCGATTGGTGTTTTCGTTACGGGAGGTTTAAAGGGCTGCGAGACGGCGTGCTTAAGGGGGGGTTAGTCCGTACACGGTGCGGGGTCCGCAGCAGCCAGAGGGAGCGTACACCCGTGGAGCACTGACTACACATGCTGTGAGCGCACGTACACACAGCACCACGCACTTTCACACGCTCGTCGAAACCACACGAGGCTACGATTAGTTATTAATGATTTAATACCGGCCGACTGCGATTCACTGTTAAGTCAGTAAGGATCGACAAGGCAGGCCTACACTATCGCCCGAGGGTCTGTACCCGATTTATCTAATTTGATGGACTCTAAGCGATGTTGGTTTCCCTAGATTCAATCCCAACACTCTCTCTCCTCTTACTCACAGTTAGATGCTTACGGTGTTCCGGTGGTCTCGTCCTCGCTGCTCACCTCGACGCGTCACACGTACATTCGAGTGGCCGAACTGGAGACCGTCCCGAGGGCAGACTTTTGGAGCAAGAGAGCGCTCTACCTTTCTGCGCCCCCCTTTTATCGTTAACCTACATCAAAGAAAGCCGACCCGAGGGCCTTCTCGGCCAATCGGGTCGCCATACCGGTTCAGCCGCACTCCCTGTTTCCCTAACAATGGGCTCCCGCTGGCTGCGGCCCTGGTCCACGTGCGCTTTTGCTATGCTAATCAGCCGCGGTTTCCGTAACAAAGGGCTCGCCACGGGCTGCTGCGCGGCGGCGGTCCCCGAGCACACCCGCTATGCCAATCAGCCGTCCACCCTGGCTTCTCCCCTCGTTCGTGGCTACGGCCCCCCCTGCCTGCCTTGCCGATCCGTGTGTGGGGGGGGTGTGTTTCAACCGTGGTGGCTGGACAGCCCCCGTCGTGACCATGCAGTCTCAACCCAGGTCACAGCGCCGCGGTGCGACTTAGCATTGGCGGAGGTCGCCCAATTTCCTGGCCGCAGGAAACCATGAAAATTATCCCTATGAGGGCTTTCGGATGAAAACCTGTTGGTCAGGTGACCTCCCCTCGGTGCTCTATGGGGGTCAAATGTGTGAGGGTGTGTTTATGTGGGGGGTGGTGAGGGGGAAGCGGGGTCGGCCCCGTCGCTTGGTGGTGGCGAGGTCGTATATGGGGCGCCCGCCGAGCGGCTTCGCGGCGGCGGCATCACATAACCCCCCGAGGTGCCAATCCCTGTCCCGGGTTGACTGGAGCACCTCGCCTGGGTCGCACCCACGAGGAAGCGCTGTGGGGTCCGGGGGATCCGTCTGGACCTCGTGGCTGGTCTCGGGGCGGGTGGCTCCGTCCTCTGGGGTTCCTGCGGCGGCCTTCTCCTCCACTCCAACGGCTCTCCCCGTCCCTCGGCACCTGCGGGCTGGAGCACAAACTCAGCAGCAGAAGGGTTTAGGGGCCGTCGCCCGCGCCGTTTCCTGACTGGATTGGGACGCCTCGGGGTCGGGGGTCCGGCGGGGCCCATGTAGCGTGCAAGGCGCCCGAGCACAGGGGGTGCAGGTGTAGTGACATAAGAAGGGAGGGGCTGCTGGGGGCTCTGGGATCCCAGGCGAGTCCAGACGCTTAAGCCTCTGGGCGCCAGGCGCTGGGTTCCCAGGGGGTCCAGACGCTTAATCCCCTGGGCGCCAGGCGTTGAGTTCCCAGGCGCTTAATCCCCTGGGCGCCGCCAACGGGGGGGGGCTGTGTGTGCTCTGTGGGATGTCTGGTGGTGCACACGGCCCCACCCCTCGTTGGACCAGGCATAAAAGGAGAGCTCCCTGGACGATCGGGGCCCAGTTGTAACTCAAGACCCAAGACCCACGACCAGCCATCTGAAGACCCTGGGATGCTGTGAGAGCCAGTGGTGGGACTCTGGAACTCCCGACTCTACGCCTTGTGAGGGCGAGCGTAGCCAGAGTGGAGTATCTAGAGTATCTAGGCTGTGTAGCTAGGCTGTGTACCTAGGCTGTAACAGAGTATCAGGACTGTTGAAGTGTTGTATTGTAATAAAGAAGTTACATCTACAAGTGTCTCCGGAACCCGTTACATTTGGTGTTAGAAGTGGCTATGGAGACAAGAAGTAAGCCACGTACCTTCAGTCCTGACGGCGATGAAGAGGAGCAGGCAGCGATGGGGCGGCCAACGCCGGCCGACAGCGACGCTGCACCGCCGGCCGACAACAACGCCGCACCGCCGGCTGAGCAGATGTCTGCTCCGCCGACCGTCCCCTCTCCAGCGTCGGGAGCAGAGATGGAGGAGGCACTGCTTCGCCTTGCAGAGCTGCTCTGCGCCACCGCCTCCCTCCTGGGCGAGCTGCGGTGCTCGCGGCCGATGGCGGGAGGGAGAGAGAAGGCGCGGCGCTCGCCCGAGCCCGCCGCCGCCATTCCCCCCACGGATGTGGGAGATGCTTCCGGGTGTGTCGTCACTTCTGCCGGGGGAGCAGTGACCGCTGGGAGCGACGTCACTTCCGGGCCCAGCGTGGGCCAACCCGACGACGCCGCGTCATCAGCGCTGCGTCCCTCACCGCCGGGTGACAGCTGTTGGCAACCTAGCATAGCGCGTCATCAGCGCTGCGACCAGACAGTGAGGGCGCCATTCTTACTGTAACCAGCGCAGGGGCCGGCACATGGACCGACACGCTGCTCGCCGCCTGTGCTGCTCTGGCCAAAGGTTGGAGGTCGGGAGACCAGGCCCCTGACACTTCGTACATTTACGCGCTCCGGATGAATGATTTTTTTGTTGACATTTTCTTCGTTGTCGTCGGGGAGTCGTGACTGTTGTTGGGTAAACTGTGTGGAGCTTCGCCCGTGAGTGTTGTCAATGTCTGTGCGAAACTTTGCTTGTGATTGTTAACAATGTATGGTTTATATTGAGCTTTGTTCGTGATTGTTAATGTATAGCTTGTGCTGTCATTGTTAACGATGTATATACTCTATGGGGCATTTATCTTGAGATGGTGACATGCTGCCAAGGATTGGAATTGTCATGCTGGCTCTCAAATATCTTGGGGTGCAGATCCTGACCAGGATGTCCCAGCGGGTGTTGCGTGTCTAACACGAGAGTTGTGGTCCCGTCATGCTATGGCTGCCGGCTTGACCTGACAGCCCGCAGATAGAGACACTCCGTGGCATGTCTAGCCTAGTGGGCTGTGTGCTCACATGGCTCGGAGAGTGTGGTCCCGTCATGGAATAGCTGACGGCTTGACCTGACAGCCCGGAGATTGAAACACTCTGTGGCATGTCTAGCCTAGTGGGCTGTGCGCTCACAGGGCTCGGAGAGTGTGGTCCCGTCATGGAATAGCTGACGGCTTGACCTGACGGCCCGGAGGTTGAGACCCTCCGTGGTACGTCTGGAGCAGTAGGCTCGCCCTGATGGCCCGGAGATTGAAACACTCCGAGGCGCGTTGAAACAGTGGGCTGGAGATTCGTCGTGTTCAGGTGTAGTTGTCCCGTTACGTTGGGACTGTATCCCTCAGTTGTTAGGGTGCATGTTGTGCAGGGAGTGAACAATGGGTCGTCTCAGATCGGTCGGTACAGCTATATGCTGCGATGCGAGTCTTGGAGAGAGGTTGGGTCTCAGATCGGTCGGTACAGCTATATGCTGCGATGCGAGTCTTGGAGAGAGGTTGGGTCTCAGATCGGTCGGTACAGCTATATGCTGCGATGCGAGTCTTGGAGAGAGGTTGGGTCTCAGATCGGTCGGTACAGCTATATGCTGCGATGCGAGTCTTGGAGAGAGGTTGGGTCTCAGATCGGTCGGTACAGCTATATGCTGCGATGCGAGTCTTGGAGAGAGACTGGGTTGAAGTCCCCCCCGATATGGCCGACGTGCGCGGTTTTAGGATGGAGACGCCACGTTGGAAAGGCGGGGGGTGCAAACGGTTGACATGTAATGTCGGTGGTGGTCCTCATTG